GGGGCTACATGAACAATTTAGTGTACCAGAGGGAAGTTGACACATTAGAACAACTCCGCGACTTTCTCACTGCAGCGGCAGATGAAATCCGAAATCATCCGGATATGATAGCAAGAACGACACATCATAATTTTCTACGCCGCTGTCAACTTAGTGTGGATAATAACGGCAGGAAAGTTGAACATGTATTATGATTTTGTGGAACACTTAAAGAAAATAGCTACATGAGCATCAATCAAAAAGTGAAAGGTTAAATGTTAAATCAACGGGAAAACCACGGAAACCTCGTGATACCTAACAATAAAAAGTAAGTATTGTTTTAAAGTACCTAAAAAAGCTGAGTATGCAAATTATCAACAAAGTAATCAATGATAACACAAATGTAAATTTTTAATGAATGTAGATTATTACCCACTGTGCAAGCATATTTTCCGTCAGTTTTCATAGGTCAGGAACAACCAGTGGCGGCCCAAAATTTCTACTTTCTTATTTTGGCGTGAACTATTATGTCCTTAAAGGATGACAACTTATTTGGTGAAACCCTGTATTAAATCTAACACTAGTATTAACTTTGGATTAAAATCTACATTCAAATTCTTTTATTGCACAGATCTAAATTCTACTCTACAGGAAAATATGGTTTTTTATATTGAAACTTTTATTTTGTATTCAATACATTTTCAAAAAATACTACATATATGATATATATGATAATATCATATAATAATATAATATATTATATCCTATAATTTCATTTAAAGAAATCATCTTATACCTTCAGCACTTTGTTCCTTGTAATTTTCTAATATTTTAATTATATTTTTGCACCTAATATCCAACATTGTTCTACTGTCATGATTATGATCATCTTCAAAATCGAATTGGTTCAGCTCGTTTAATACAAACTCAATTTCTGACTCCATTCTACCACTCTCATTGATAATTACGTTATAATCTTGCACGTCCTTTTCCAAGTTTGCAAGTTTTTCATCAATAGTTTTAAGAACCTTATCTGAAATGAATATACACTGTGTATTCCTGGTTGCCTATGAACTGTACGTAATAAATTACGTTACCTTTTCTTCCATTAATTTCATCCTTATAAACAGCTTGTAAAGTATCCAGAAGATCTTCACATGATTGTATTATTTCCTGTATCCTATTAACATTTCCTTCTCTATAAGTAACGGATTCAGCATCCTCAATAACACTACGAATTTTAATTTCCAAATTTAAATAAGCTTCATCTAAATTTTCGTTTTCTCCCAAATTCATGATATCCTTATTTAGTAAGGATATGTCCTCCTCTAACTCTCTTAAAGCTAAAAAATATTTGATTGTTTTCGAATAAAATTATTACGTAACAAAAACTTACCAGATGTCATATTATTTTTTTATTAAACCATTAATAATAATAAATTTATTATTAAAAGTTGTTGTGGATTGAAGGTTACAAACACCTGATAATGTGTAAACAGTTTGTTATCTGATAAGTGTAAAAAATATGCATAAGGTATTCAATTTAAAATAGTAAATAACCAAAATTAAATGCTTTGTATATTATGCCACTTAAATATTTTATGTTGTAACTTTTAGAAACTTTTTAGGAGGTATCTTCCTACTTTGTTTAAGTTCTTGATTGTTCTCAGGTGGTGTTTTGTAGACTTGTGTTTTTAAATGACCCCAAAGAAAAAAATCATGTGGCGTTAAATCTGTAGATCTTGCCGGCCATTCTAAATTTTTTTCTGGATGCACCTGATTAAACTCTGCTAAAGGTAAATTAAAACGAAACAAATAAAACAGTTTGCGATTATATTTGAATTTATCAAAAAACTAATACGAAGCTAATTTTCAACAAAATTATGTACTAGGTATCTATTTTTCGAGTTATAAAATTTAAAAAATAGTTTTTGTTGGGCCACCGTTTAAATATAAATACATTCATAAAACTAGTTATAAACATTCAAGGAAAAATCATGATAAGATTTAATCTATACAGCCAATTTATTGATAACATAATGTACTTTACGATTTACACCCATTTAATGTAAATAGCTGTTTACCTTAAATATTTAAAAATTAAGAAAATGGTAAATACAATTTATAGAATATATAAATAATACAAGTGTTTCTATTTCAGGAGAGCGCCTTGGAGTATACCACTGTCAAAAGTAGAATACAATTCTTCGACGAACTATCCACAAAAAACCGAAGATCACTGGGAAGCCCTTTAAAAAAGAACAAAAACGTCTCGTCGGCCGAATTTAATGGCATCATTAACAACATCGAGAGCGAACTGAAGGTAATCGAGTTCCAAATACAAGAATACAGCGTGTACGAAAAAGAACTCCACCAGGTGTTGCAGTTAAAACTGTTCGATATTTTAATAAAATTGGTACGTTTCAACGACAAGTCCAGAAAGTTTTGGAAACAAGAGGTTGGGGGGAATATACACAACCTATTCAAAATTCTTCATCAGAGATTGCCATCGAAGAACTTGCAAGGTTATGTTATATCCCAGAAAAGAGCCATCTTCGAAAAGTTAGAGTCACCGGAAAGTAATAACAATAAGGAGGAGGAACTGTTACTCACAACTCTAAACACAGCCTCTAAAGATAAACCCTTAAAGACCAAACTCTTTTTGAAGAACACCCAACAATCACCATTCAAATCAATAATGGACTCTCCAGAAAAGGTTAGATCCAATTCTTTCCCCTGGAGTGTGTCCCAACTGAAAAGCAGGTTCGAAGGTACTGAAAGCAATAAAGACATTGCTTTGACAGAATCTAACTTAAGTAATTGGAGGGCTAAGCAGTCTTTGACTGGGAAATACTTAGGCAGAGGTGGGGTGTTTCATAAATATAATGGAGGAAGAAGTAAGAGTGAATCATGTCTAATGGAAGAACAAGAGTTTGATTAAGATATATTAGAAGTGGATAATTTAATTTTTAAGTATTATAATGTTTATGTTTATTATAAATAATGAAATATAAATGTTTTAACTTAAATGCAAAATACATTAATGGCAAATTTCTGGTGGTTTATATATTTACATATCTTAGATCATACATTAAAAAAACATCGTATTGATATAATACTAAGATCACTGTTTTCTTCTATTAATGCTGCATACACTCAGAGAAATATCAAGTTATGAAAAGCATATGAAATTATATTAATTTAAATAATCGGGTAAATTTGATTCAAATAGAAAAATTTGTAGTTTTATATTCATTTACCAACAGTTTTACAATGTTTTGAAACACTTTTAAAGTGAACACTCTTTAAAATATATATACAAAAAGAAATCCATTTATTTCATTGCCTTTCTCAAAGTTGTTTCAAAAAGATATGTATTATACAAATGTTATGCACCTATTAATTTAATGGGACACACCAATGACGCCAAAACATATTTGAATCCCTTTGAATTATTATCGTTTTGAATGATTCTACAACATTTTTTCTATCAGTGTAGTTTCATGGCATTGCATCTTCATATATTTCTTCTGGATTATCTATTTGTTCTACGTTATCTTCTTTGGATTTTGTATTTTTTTGATAAAATGAAATAGCTTTCTTAATTTGTTCCATCAGAGTTTTAGCTTCATTTACTTCTTTTTCAAAACCGGGATCTATATAAAATTTGCCTAAATTATCTGCCAGTTTCTTTAGGAAAGTGACCATCATAAATTTTTCTTATTCATCATTTTCTTTGCTACCCAATTTAAGGCATATTTTATTAAACTCTTGTTTGAATTCCAATAGCTGATTTATCAAATGACTCGATAGTTTTATATAATTGAAACTTTTATTTTTGTGCTCGTTTAAAATAAGAAAAGGTTACATCCAATTCTTTCCCCTGGAGTGTGTCCCAACTAAAAAGTAGGTTCGAAGGTAGTGAAAGCAATAAAGATATTGCTTTGACCGAATCTAACTTAAGTAGTTGGAGGGCTAAGTACCGTAAAATGGGGTGAATGGGAACTAAAGGGGAAATAGGGACAAAAGTGGGAAAAAGTTTTTAAATATTTCTTACGTTAATTTAAATTGACAAATCAAAAACTTTTGTGGGTTTTCATGTACAGGAATGTTGTGTTTGCTAGTTGGTAGCATTGAAAAATTGGTAACAGTGTAGCTGTCATTATGGGCTAACCTCAAATTGTGAGCAAGTTTTGTTATCGTATGGGTGCTCCGAAAAGCTTCATCTGGAAAACGTAAAAGGGGTAAATGAAATAAGCTGAAAATTTCGTGATTGTTGTCTTAGTTATTCATTTAAAATATAAAAAAGTCAAATTGTTGAAAATGTGTTCCACTTTTTCCTAATAATTTTATTAAAAAAATTGAACCGCATTTGGGTGAATTGGAACAGGGAAAATTTTGAAATTTAGACACTTTTAAAGGCTTTTTTTTATTTTTTATTATTATGTTGATTTTTAGAATATGTATTTTATTTATTTTTATATATTTTATACGTTTTATAAATAATAAAAGAAAACATTTTTGAGTTATATATTGGTCTTTTTCTTCCCACCCAAGGTCTGAATCACATTTTATGAATTTTTCGCCGCTTTCAAAAAACATATATTGTGTTCCTATTACACCTTTAACGCGTTAAATCGGCATACAAGGGAAAATAACATTGGTGTTCCTATATCGACTGATACCGGGGCAATAGGAACAAAGCACATTAAAATAAAAAATATATATTTTGGAAAAATCTATTATTTTCAAATTTTGGTTATAGGTAGCCCAGGACCCCATAGGACTTTTAGGCCCAAAACGGTCTTTAAAAATATTACTATACGGCCGCTGTGATTGATCAAATGTCAAAAAGTGTTTCCATTCACCCCATTTTACGGTAGTCTTTAAATGGGAAATACTTAGGCAGAGGTGTGGTGTTTCATAAATATAATATAAGAGTGAATCATGTTTAATGGAAGAACAATAGTTTGATTAAGATATATTAGAAGTGGATAATTTAATTTTTAAGTATTATAATGTTTATGTTTATAATAAATAATGAAATATAAATGTTTTAATTTAAATAGAAAATACATTAATGGGCAAATTTCTGGTGGTTTATATATTTACATATCCCAGATCGTACAATAAAAAAACATCGTATTAAGAAGTAAATATATAATTTCACAATAAACAACTTAAACGTCTGTTTCTTCACTTTTATTTAAAATCATTCTATCCGTATCCCCATTAAGTGAATCATTTTCTATCCAATCCAAATTTTTCTCGTCCTCTTCATATTCATCGTCAATCCCCAGTAAAATGTTGACTTTTCTGAGATGGTCCTTTGCGTTTTCCTTTACATCACATTCTTCATTATCCATTTCTTCTTCCATTATAATACTAAGATCACTGTTTTCTTCTGTTAATGTGGCATAGGTTGATGGCAATACGTCTTCATATATTTCTTCTGGATTATCTATATGTTCTGCATTATCTTCTTTGGATTTTGTATTTTTTTGATAAAATGAAATAGCTTTCTTAATTTGTTCCATCAGAGTTTTAGCTTCATTAATTTCTTTTTCAAAACCAGGATCTATATCAAATTTGCCTAAATTATCTGCCAGTTTCTTTAGGAAAGTGACCATCATAAATTTTTCATATTCATCATTTTCTTTGCTATCCAACTTAATGCATATTTTATTAAACTCTTGTTTAAATTCCAATAGCTGATTTATTAAATGACTCGATGGTTTTATATAATTGAAACTTTTATTTTTGTGCTCGTTTAAAATAATTGCCAGTCGGTGCTTCTCCTTTAATAATCTGTCATATTCTGGGTTGACGTATACAGAGATTAATTTTTTTTCCAAACCTTCCAGAAGTAGTTTTGGGTTTTCATGATTATTTGCAATAACTTCATTCATCTCGAGTTGAATTTCCGAAAGGTATTTTTTAATGTTGGATTTTTCGTTCTGAATTTTATTCTCTTCTTCTGAATTTTCTTGTGTAACATTGTTATTTTTTGCCAGTTTATCTTTGATTTCTTTCACTTGTTTTATTAACCCATTTTTTTCTCTTATTTGGTTTTTAAATTTTAATTTAACTACGGTAGCTTCAAGTATATGTTGTATAGCATCTAGTTTCTCTGATGACTCTTCACACCCCATTATATCCAAATTTGCAGTTATTTTGTACAACTCTTTTTTGATTTCATGCAGCACTTTTTTTATTTTAGACTTCTCCTTCTTGTCAACTTTTTCTTCTTTATCACACATTTTAAGATTGACGTCCATATTTTCATCTAGTTTTGAAGGGATTTCTTCAGATTCCATTGGATAATTATTGGTTTCAGTTTTAGTATGGTTGTCCTCATCATCTTTATTAGATTTATTGGTATGCAAATGTTCTTCTTTGGAAGTATTTTTTTCGCGTACTGCCTTATTTTTATAGTCATCTTCTATATCTTCTCCTAGAAAAGGCGTTAATCTTTTAATTTCACTTATAGTAGCCCGAATGGAATTGTATTCAGTAACTTCTGAACCTTCAAATTTTTGAGCTAGCTTATAAACAGATGGGATGTTTCCTTGTTTAATTTCTTTAACTGCTAGCGTAGTATTTGCATGATCATTTATATTTTTAAATGGACTCCCTTCTTTGCTTATATTTTTTACCACATTAAAATTTCGCTTGGGTTCTTCACCCGCTATATCAAACTTTTGTTTTAACTTGTGAACTGAGGGGTAATTAGTTTCTTCATCTTTATCTGTAGCTATCTTGGGTTCTAATTTTTGATGATTTTGAAAAATACATTCAAAGTAGTATTTTTTGAAATCATCGGGCTTTTTTCCTTTAATTTTTTGATTGATTTGTCTCAAAAGTTCATCATCAAGCCCTTCCAATTCCTTTCTTAACTCAGAGAAATCTGGATTGATTTCATCGCCTGTAAATTCTTGAGTTTTTATTCTATATTTTTTAATTTTTTCATCAATTTTGGAAGGAATGGTCTTATCCAGTTGATCGTTTGTTTTGCTTGGTTTTGTCACTTCTTTTGCTGTATCTAAAACAATAAGGTTAGTGTTATAACACCTATACGTTTTTTAGTTGCTTACGTTTTGAGTAATTTTTTAAATTGCTTTTAAATAATATTTTTTTCTTTTGTACGTTATTAGTGGATGGTAGTTTCTCATTAAGAATCCTATTAATACTTTCAATCTTTTGTAATATAGAATCGGCAGTGTTATTGGAGGTACAAGAAATTAATTGTAGTTGGAATAGCACCAGGTCATTTTGAATATTTTGGTAGCCTTGTTTTTCGTATTGAAACTCTTTTAAATCGATTTCCAGCTGGGATAACTTTTGGTACAGCTTATCGTAGGATTTCAGTTCACAAACATTTATTTCTTTTATGTAATTTAGAGTACTTTGTATTTTGTCCATTTTCCTAAAATAGTGTAAATTTATTAATCAAGGATTAGTCCGGTCAATCTAGACATTCGAAGGTACATAAATTTACAACAAGCTGAAAATCAGTAAAATTGTTCAGAATATAATTATAAATAAAATTTTAAAGTTCCCCATCATTCCCCTGTATGGAAAATTTTTTATTCAAGGTCAAAGGTCAAAAAAATGATTTTTCGCGATTTTTAGCAAAACGGTAAGTTTTATCATAAAAATACATCAGGCAAAAATTGTAGATCATAAAATAATCTATAAAAAATGTAATAATACTTTTTTTCTACCAGCCACCGTTTTTGAGATATAACGATTCGAAAAGTTGTAAAAGTTATAATCGCCATAATATGCACACCTTTTCACGCCACCTATGAGGTAGTTTACTGGCCTTGACAATTCGTACATGCCAGAGAATAAAACAGTCCGACTTTTTTGCAACCACATTTAGCACTGCATCCCTTTTTGCAGTTGCAAAACATTGTGTTCAGCAGTTTCTCCGGCGCAGGTGGGAGTAAATTTTGAACTGGTTCTAATGTGTTGTTGACCAACTTCCAACCCCAGTCTGTAGGGTTTAGCTGATAACCAAGTCACACTTGAACTTGGTAATATACCTGAAAAAGATGTTGATGAGCAGCAACTGAGGTTGGAGGAAGACAAGCTAATTGAACTTGTTTTTTACTTTTAGAATTTTTAACGAAACATGCATATCGATAATTATCAAAGCAGGTAGTTTTTTTAGGAGCTCCGTATATAGAAAGAAGAGATCGAATGCCATTGGTGATAACTTCTTGTCCCGAAGCACCTTTTCCTCGACTTGGCCGAAAAATCTCCGCTCGTTCGAAAGTTAAGCGAAGACAACAGAAAGTGCAAAATTTGACGGAAAAATCGAAAAAAGTGGACTTGGACTTGGGTCCTCGGATAGGTCTCGTGGGCAGAAAAAAGGATGCAAATTTTAACCTTCAACGGACTCCGAGCTACGGCGCTTAGAAAAAAAAGGATATACAGACAACGGAAAAAATAAATATTGAAAACTTTTCGAACAGCGTTCTTTTTTAATTTTTTTGGGGCGAGAGAAATTTTAGAAATTGGCCGAACGAAATACACGAATCGACGGGTAAAAGACCAAAGTAAAAGATGAGCTTCATCGAATGAAAACTAATCGGCCAGAAGCCCGTTTAATTTTTGTTGAGTATTTAAAAAAGTTAACCAATTAAAATCCCCGAAATCAAATCGATAAGGTGGCATATGACAGGGACAAATGACAGGTGACAGATCTCAAGTTGACAAATGACAGGTAACACATATAAGGTAACAGAAGACGTGAGAAATACAAAATTCATCTTTAAAATTACTACCCAGTTTAGGTGGAGCGGTTCCTTAAGGGACTGGGTTTTATTTCACTTGATATTCTTATAGTTATAACTTATGTAGGTATACTTTATATTTTAAGTGTAAGTTAAAATGACTGATAGAAAAATATTTTAACATATATTACAACTCTAGAGATACGTGGCGTACTCATGCATATTATGACGATTACAACTTTTACAACTTTTCGAATCGTTATATCTCAGAAACGGTGGCTCGTAGGAAAAAAAGTAATAATACATTTTTTATAGATAATTTTATGATCTACAATTTTTGTTTGGGGTATTTTTATGATAAAACTTAACGTTTTGCTAAAAATCGCGAAAAACTCATTTTTTTAACCTTTGACCTTGAATAAAAAAATTTCCATACAGGGGAATGATGGGGAACTTTAAAATTATATTTATAATTATATTCTGAACAATTTTACTGATTTTCAGCTTGTTGTAAATTTATGTACCTTCACTGTTATTTTTTGGTCTAATTTGACCGGACTAGATACATTAATCAGATTAGATAATATGACATGTTTTATATAACTTATACAATAAAATATAAAGATAATTGTGTATGAGGGAAAATTACAGCTATACAAAAAATATCATATTGAAACTTTTTTTGAACTGTCTAACCACCCTTTTGTAGCTAATTTGTCCCAACCCATGTATTGTAGAGTACATATTTTAGCTCAAGGGCATTTTGATTGTTTTTACGTTTTACACGAATTAATAATATCAAATCTTTGACACTTCATAGTTTGTAATGCAAAGCACACTTGTGTTAAAGAAAAAGTGAGGGTTTCACTTGAAATACTGAAAAATAACCTAGCAAATCCTGCGCACGTTCCTGCACTGTATATATGTTTATAATTATTGATTTATTATATATTTGTAAATTTGCTTATGTTAAAAATTATAAATTTTAAAAAGCTAAACATACCTTCAAAAAGAAAACATTACACAGAAGGGCATTTTGATTGTTTTTACGTTTTACACGAATTAATAATGTCAAATCTTTGACACTTCATAGTTTGTAATGCAAAGCACACTTGTGTTAAAGAAAAAGTGAGGGTTTCACTTGAAATATTGAAAAATAACCTAGCAAATCCTGCGCACGTTCCTGCACTGTATATGTTTATAATTATTGATTTATTACACAAAATTATTATATTATTATTATTATTATATTATTACAAAAGCAACTGTGACGCGCCTTGGAGGGAGGCGAGGCCACGCCCCATATATATATATATATATATATATATATATATAGATATATTCGGTTTTATTCTAAACAGGCTGTATTTGTAAATTTGCTTATGTTAAAAATTATAAATTTTAAAAAGCTAAACATACCTTCAAAAAGAAAACATTACACAGAATTACAAAAGCAGGTATTACGTATATTCGTACTCAACGATTTTATCAGATAAGATTATACATATTATTATTATACAGGGTGTCTAATCGAAAACTACTTTTGTTTTTAGGGGGACTTATTTCCACATAAATTTCATCACTGTAACTGCAAAAGAGGACAAGGCCCGAAGATATTTTTGGATCTTTTCATCTCAAATCGACCAGGCAAATAGGGGTAGGTCGTTATTTTTTAACGAAATTTTTTTTACAGTTTCTCTACAGAAATCGATGAGACCCTTATTTTTTCTTTTTGCTTAAATTTGTTTTATTTACCCGTCGGAAATTTTTGAATTTTTTTTTAAATTGTAGGTAAATGTTTATTACATACAAAAATATATATCAAAAATTAAGGGGCATTCCACGTTACTCGGTAATTTTTGTCCTGCCCGTCACAATTAAAAATTGTGAGTAAAAACCACAAGTTATTAAATTAATATTTTATATTATTATTTTTATTGCGCTTATAACTTATTAAAAGCATAATAAACAATATTTTAAAATAAATTTTATAAAGTATAGTTTTTACTCACAATTTTTAATTGTGACGGGCGGGACAAAAATCCCTGAGTAACGTGGAATGACCCTTAAGTGAATTCAAACATTTTTTTAAATTGTTTTTTCTAAAAAAGGCAAAAAAATTGAGGTCAAAATTTTGAATTTTTTTTTACTTCATATTTTTTCCGTTTGAAGTAATAAGTCCCGAGTTGGCTAAATTCGTCGTTTCGGAATTATTATTTTTTAATGGAAATGATATTTTGTAGTAAATTCGTGGTTCATCGCAAAAATTTGGTATTTTATCTAGGGTCATGAAACTGGGGTGACCTTTATAAAGTGTAATTTAGAACTTTTTGACATATTTTTGTCACTTCTTGTTTCACCGGAAGTGCTCTTAAGTAAGTAAATGAAATTATTAAAGATTTTAGAGTAAAATGTTTTTGCATTTGTTACTAGGTGTAAAAAGAATACCTAAGTTAATTTTGGTTAAAATAATAAAAAGTAAGTATTATATAATTTATATTCCTAAAAGTAATGAATCGAATTCACAAGAAACTTATAAAAACGCGATTTCGAAGAAATGTAGAACACAAAGAATTCCGAAAAATGTTGGTCTATTAACAGATATGAGTGAGGCAGTCCCGAAACTCTTTTTGACTCAGGCTCTTTTAAAAAGGGAAATAATTATTGAGCCTAAGAGATCCAGAAACTAATGCGCATGTTAATTATGTTTAGAAATAAAAAAAATTATTTGATTTTATATTTTGTTTTTTAATTTTTTGCAAGGGATTCCCTACAATGGCGGTTAGATATAACTTTTTATAATCGTTTTAAAATATTTGAATGATTTTATTTATAAATAAAATAGTAGATATAAAACCAAAAAATATTGAGCTTTGATTTTAACCTCCTCAATTATTATTTTTATTCTATATTATAAAAAGTTTTAGCGGATGTTTTCATAGGAAAATAAAATGTTAATATTCACTTACCACGCGGTAAGTTACCAGCAAAACAAACTAATAAACTGTCAAATGACTCAAATCTGATACTTCTTTTAAACACAAAGGTTTCAAAGCCTTTTTAATTTATTTATTTTTTTACACTTTAAAACCTAATAAACATACAAATTTAATTAAAAATTATTAATGAAATATTTGGTATCAAATTTTAAAAAAGTGTATTTCTTTTATTACCAACAAACCACCCTCTTTTATAAAAAAAAATAGTTTTGGCATTAAGTATGGTTTTTCAATTTTTGAAAGCTCCTAAAACCAGCATTGCAAAAAAGAATAAAATTGTATTTTTTCCAGACTACTTGGCCCAACATGAAGCAGAAAAGCCAATTCAAGGCACTCTAGATATAGAAATAAAATTTAATCAGAATATGATTTTACCTGTCAAAAATTGACAAATGACATATGTATGTATTCAGAGTTTTATTTTGAATCAAAATATGTAAAAATGCATAGGGTGTTTCATTAAAAAATAAAAATTAAGACCATTTCCGGTGGAACCGGAAGTGACAAAAATATGTTAATTATGTCAAAAAGTTCTACATTACACTTTGCGATAAACCACAAATTTACTAAAAAATGGCATTTTCATTAAAAAAATAATAATTCCGAAACGACAAATTTAGCCAAATTCAAACGAAAAAAATATGAAGCAAAAAAATGTGGCAATGTCAAAATTTTGATCTCAATTTTT